GCTTCGCGGCTATTAGAGGAAAAACAGATAATATCCCGCGTGGTGAGAGCAACGGTAAGTGGACGCAGCACGCCGTATCCCTATAAAATTACCATTTTAATCAGGTAAGAGAGAGAGAGGGGGGGTAGGGGGGAGAAAAAAAGGCTCTAGGCGCGTACGCGTGTGGTATACCGTTTTTACCACATTCGCGCGTATGTATATGTTGTACAAGTAGGTATAAAAAAAAAAAAAAAAAAAAAGAAAAGAAAAATAAAAGGAAAAAAAAGAAAAGAGTTTGTGTGCAATCGAGAATCAATGTTTTCCTCAAAGTATGACTCNAAAAAAAAAAAAAAAAAAAAAACGTAGAGAGAGATGTATAAATGTGCAAAGATAAGGGCACGATGAGACGAGAGAGAGAGATAAAGAGGGAAGAGAGGGCAAGTCATGCAACGCCCGTGTAACCTTAAGAGAGGAGCGGCCAGCAGAGATAGGTATACATATATATACATACACATGCACATACAACATACGTGTAATGTATATATACTTTGGCTTAGACCGCGATCAAGATGGTTTCGGTGCAGCAGGCGTATGCGTATGAGGGTAACGGTACCCAGAGAGAGAAAAAGGAGCGAGATGTACCTATTGCACTCTCCGATGTGCCTTCGGACCCTATAGGTACACAGCCGTGAGGCCAATTCTCTTCTGTTTTTCCCTCTTTTGCCGGACCAACCATGTACCTGCGCCTAGGTTGCAGAATCACCCTCTCGTATCATATGGAAATAAGGAAAGAAGTCGTTGGTTTTATTACCCAACGGAGGTTTCAAAATTGTCAATTTAAAAAAATGACCAAAAACACGATGTATGCTCGTTGAGCTCAGGCCAATCGTACACGGACAACCGCTCGTCAATGTACGCGAATCAAGCGCAGCCCGAGCTCGATGGATCAGCCCCACCTGTAACTCCTACCTACTTTTTTCGAATTCCGAAATAGTCAGAGAAAACGCTCTAATTCTAGCGCGTAGACGGAAGGAGAATGATATCTCCAATGTATTTAATAGATATGATGATGATGATGATGATGATTGCACTCACGGAAATAGGGGAATCCCCATGTTACCATGCTGTACGATCGTAGATTATATATGTGTGTATATGAAGGAGGAAGCGTCATCAACGGCGTGGTAATTGCGCGCGCGCGGAATTACAATTTCCGGGGAACGATGCGCGTGACGGACCGTCCGAATCGTCAATCCGAATCGTTGTAATTCAACCGCACGCGTATATGTATAAGTAGTTTACGCGCAAGTACACCAAGCTGTTACACAGCAGTGTGTGTGTGTGGGTGTATGAGGTAAACCAAGGTGTTTACCAAGTGAATTACGCGATACATAAGTATATATGGGGTAAAGGCACGTCGTCGTTCTCAAAGAGCGAAGAAATGGCACATAGCGTCGGCGCTTCCGTCACTGCAGGAGCTGCAAAGGGGAATGAGCGTTCTTTTGTCTCTCGACTGCATCGGCAGTATAAATTCCTCCGTCTGGCGTACCTTTCGATCTATACTCTGTTTTCACCTTCCTCCACCGCCCTCCCTTATATATACGACGTCACCGGTGCTCGTCCTTATTCTTTTTTTCCCTCTCCGGTCCTCCCACGCTCGGGAATTTCCTCTCGTCTCTCGTACCCCTTCAATTTTAATCCGGCAAAGCTGCAAGAGCTTATTAGCTGTCGGGGTTGGGGCTTACGCTGGAGGGAGGCACAAAAAGTCCCCTTGTAAAAGCGCCCGTGTGGATTTAAGTCATTATTCCGGGGAAGGAAGGATAAATGGGAAGCTCTCTGTTATACTATACGCAGACATACTGGGCGTTGAGTCGTAGCATAGACATAGATTGAGCAACGTTTTTATAAATGACTTCAATCGAATCCTTCGGATTTTCCAAAATTCGCGCAATACTTAATCTCTCGTCGATTCGATAGTTTGTACGACCATTGAGTGTACATATTACATATACATATGGATCGGTAAGCTCTGCGCGCCCATAGAGGACGTAAAAACAGCCACGCGTTATTAATAACGTCGAAGCTTTAATTAATCATTTATAAACTCAATGAGCAAGTGCATCATCGTAAAACTCGAGTACATACACGCGTACACCCGTACAACTCGCACGAAACAGATTACATCCTTCGATGCTCCATGTGAGGCCCGATGCATCGTACCGACAGCCCTCCTCCTCCCCTTTTATCCTCATAAATGAACTTCCAATATATACCATCGCGGCCGTAAAGTCTCAAGGTCCCGTCCCTCAAAAATCCCGTAGGATACACATAATATATACGTGTATCTGTATGTACTTAAAGCCCCTCCTGTACGTGTATGTATATACTCCCCCTTCGGTATCATCCCCTGCACATTCCACGCGATAATCCACACCCATACTTGTGTGTATGTGCTCTCTCCCACGGATACAGAGCGAGTCTATAGGGCGTTGATCGGGAAAAAGGGAGCAAGAGTCCGTCCGGTGTATACATATACATCGAGTGCACAGGCAAGGAGACTCAGAGAGAGAGAGAGAGAGAGAGAGAGAGAGTTGAGGACAAAAGAAAGGAAAAAGACACCGCGGATGATGGAAAAACGTAAAGAATCATCTACTTGTAAGCATCGAAGCCGGTGTAGCAGAGGTGAAGACGCGGTGTATTATAAGGGGATCATCCTGCCTCTCCCATCCTCGATCAAGGGCTTTTTCTTCGCGACTATACCCCCCCTCTCACAGTCTTTTTCTTCGTACAAGCGTATACAGTGCACTTTTAACCGAGTGAAAAGCCAAACTATTTAAAATCCCAAGTTTTTATATCGGTGAGTAAGCATACCTACCTACGCATTGTCCCTGTGTATATTTTATACTACAAGGAGTCCGCAAGCTCGCCCCCTATACTAAAATACGCATATACATGGTGTATATATATACATACACATAAGTAAACGTCTTTCCGTATTTTTAACTCTTTTGTATGCATAACAAAACCGCTGGCATATCTCTCTCTCTCTCTCTCTCTCCCCTTGTAATCGGTGCCCGATCGGTGTGTGTGTGCTTCGTTGCTCCATTACCGCGGGCCCTTTGGGCGAGAAAACGACCTTGTCGTGGCGAGGGAAACCTGCTGCTTTATTCTCTGCTCTCGCTCGCTCTGTGCAATGGGTTTCGTACACATATACATACATGCGTGTGCTCCGTTAATTGTGTACATCTGAATGTACTATTTGAAGAAGCCATTGATGGTCATCGATCGACCGTTTTTTCTTTTTCTCTCGGACGAGCCGTAAATTTTCCGCATAATAGCGGCCATTGAAAACGTCCGTGTGATGGCACTGATTTACGGGAATCGGTATTACCTACGGGTACTTATATGTATACATGTACCATCTCGGAAAATAGTGCGCGGCCAAAGTCGAAACGGCCAACCCAAATACCGCTGCAGAGAAGATTATTTATAATTTACACGAATCCATGTATATATATGTACGTTACGCGTTTTACGGCAAATACAAGACTCGTAATTAATATATGTATACCTACATACAGTATTATTTGCACGCGCGGAATATCTTAAATTTTATAACTGCGCTTTGACTCCCCGTATCACGTGTGTTATATCCTCGTATACGTGGCTGCGTGCGCGTGATTTTCCCATTAATATTTTTGCCCGGCTGACCCGGCTCGCTAGTGTATTTACGTACACCGTTACAACATCCGTTTGGCCAATGCGAACGTAAGTTATTGGCTTCTTTATTTTTCCCCCTCGTCCCTTTATGGACCACGCGTTTCAGGAAAACTAAGAAAAAAAAAAAAAAAGGTCCATAATGGACATATTTGCGTATAAAGCCGTATATATACGGGCCTGTTAGAGCCCCGTCAGGCAAGCGAGCACGTGCCGATAAGCTCCGAGAGTGAAAGTCCAGCACGAGCCGCGTGGAATTTCAGCCCAGCCGCGACGCGCTCTTGTAATAATACCTACTCATGCGTGTATACGTGCACTGGACGGAACCACTCTTGGTACATGTATAAATATAGGTATAGTTGTACCGCCCTGATTGGCATTGAGGTGTCACTATCTGGTATTGGCGTTCACACCCGTGCACACATACCTGTCCCTTTTTTTCTCTCTCCGTCTATTTCTCAAGAGCTGTAACGTATCGGTATGTGCGCGCATTTTTTTTTTTGTTTTTTTTTTTTTTTTCACGTACTTCTAGCCTCGGGCGAGGAAGTCGACGACGGGACTATATACGGCTCGTAACACAACACACTCTCGAACTATATTTATATGCACGGCCTGGATTTTTGTTTTTCCGTCTCGTTGTATCCCCTTTGCCCTCCCATATTCATTTTTTCCCTCCCCAGCGAGCATATATACACGTATTTATCGGGTAGGTATACATATATACACACGTGCCCGACCATTCGCAACGAACGATATTATCTCGAGCGAGCGTTCTCCCTCGACTCGTTCAACATTTATCTTACCCCCTTTTTTTCATTTTCCATTTTTTTCTTTCTTTTCCCCCCCATTGCGATCGTTTTGTTGCCGCTGTCTCCGAGCGACGTACGCGCATATGCACTCGATACTAAAGCGCAAGGTGCCTCGCTGGAGCTCGTTCTCCGTGTTATTGGGTTCATCGGGGGTGGGCGGCGCTACGTCGAAGCTTTGTTTTTTTTTTTGTTTTTTTTTTCATTTTCATTTTCTTTTCGTTTCTCCGTATCGCCTACGTATGTAAAAAGTGTTTGCTCAATCTGGCTTTACGGCTCGTCACATTGTGTATCCTTTCACTCGCAACGCGTCCTCAGGAACGCTGAGACTTGATCGATCGAGAGAGTATACCTATGCGTACTCGCGTGGTGTATGTACGTATATGGTATACCGATTTCCTCGAATTTCCCGGTTTATCCTTAAAATCAACCAAATCATACAAACATGATTGTCATCATCAGTCTGACCCCCTGCCTTTTTCAATCTTCTTCCAGACGATGCGTACGGTCCTGGTGATCCTGCTGGGGTGCTGCCTGTTGAGCAGCTGCCTGGCCGAACAGCAGCTGCAACAGCTCCAGCAGCAGCAGCAGCAGCAGGTCGTCCAGCAGCCAACGGGCAACGTAATCGACGAGCCGAGCGATGAGGACGCGCCGTCGCGCGATCACGAGAATCGGTTGGACGAGGTGGACCAGCGCGGCTTGCCGATCTACACGACCCTCAACGGCTCGGTGACCAACCTCAACGAGATCCTCTCAACGATCCACTTGAATCGCACCGAGGCGACGCTCAACTGCTCCCAGGGCAGTATGCAGGTCGACCTGCAGTTTCAGGAGGCGTTTTATGGACTGGCGTACGCCGATTTCGACAGAAACAGCGCGTGCATGACCAAGGGCCGGGGACTCGACACGGCCAAGATCGAGCTCCCCCTCAAAGGTGACGGATCAACATACACATACATGTTTTGTTGTTTACTTTGATTATTATTATTATTTTTTTTTTTTTTTTTTTTTTTTCTTCTCCTGGTGCTGCTAACTCGAGGTGGACCAACAATGACCATCGTTGACCTCTCACGGGGTGTTGCTGGTAAAGGTACATTCGTGGCCCTATTGTGAAACACAATCTAATGGATTGCGAGGATATCTATTAATTAATTAACGGATGTGGGNGAGAGAGAGAGAGAGAGAGAGAGAGAGAGAGAGAGAGAGAGAGAGAGAGAGAGAGAGAGAGAGAGAGAGAGAGAGAGAGAGAGAGAGAGAGAGAGAGAGAGAGAGAGAGAGAGAGAGAGAGAGAGAGAGAGAGAGAGAGAGAGAGAGAGAGAGAGAGAGAGAGAGAGAGAGAGAGAGAGAGAGAGAGAGAGAGAGAGAGAGAGAGAGAGAGAGAGAGAGAGAGAGAGAGAGAGAGAGAGAGAGAGAGAGAGAGAGAGAGAGAGAGAGAGAGAGAGAGAGAGAGAGAGAGAGAGAGAGAGAGAGAGAGAGAGAGAGAGAGAGAGAGAGAGAGAGAGAGAGAGAGAGAGAGAGAGAGAGAGAGAGAGAGAGAGAGAGAGAGAGAGAGAGAGAGAGAGAGAGAGAGAGAGAGAGAGAGAGAGAGAGAGAGAGAGAGAGAGAGAGAGAGAGAGAGAGAGAGAGAGAGAGAGAGAGAGAGAGAGAGAGAGAGAGAGAGAGAGAGAGAGAGAGAGAGAGAGAGAGAGAGAGAGAGAGAGAGAGAGAGAGAGAGAGAGAGAGAGAGAGAGAGAGAGAGAGAGAGAGAGAGAGAGAGAGAGAGAGAGAGAGAGAGAGAGAGAGAGAGAGAGAGAGAGAGAGAGAGAGAGAGAGAGAGAGAGAGAGAGAGAGAGAGAGAGAGAGAGAGAGAGAGAGAGAGAGAGAGAGAGAGAGAGAGAGAGAGAGAGAGAGAGAGAGAGAGAGAGAGAGAGAGAGAGAGAGAGAGAGAGAGAGAGAGAGAGAGAGAGAGAGAGAGAGAGAGAGAGAGAGAGAGAGAGAGAGAGAGAGAGAGAGAGAGAGAGAGAGAGAGAGAGAGAGAGAGAGAGAGAGAGAGAGAGAGAGAGAGAGAGAGAGAGAGAGAGAGAGAGAGAGAGAGAGAGAGAGAGAGAGAGAGAGAGAGAGAGAGAGAGAGAGAGAGAGAGAGAGAGAGAGAGAGAGAGAGAGAGAGAGAGAGAGAGAGAGAGAGAGAGAGAGAGAGAGAGAGAGAGAGAGAGAGAGAGAGAGAGAGAGAGAGAGAGAGAGAGAGAGAGAGAGAGAGAGAGAGAGAGAGAGAGAGAGAGAGAGAGAGAGAGAGAGAGAGAGAGAGAGAGAGAGAGAGAGAGAGAGAGAGAGAGAGAGAGAGAGAGAGAGAGAGAGAGAGAGAGAGAGAGAGAGAGAGAGAGAGAGAGAGAGAGAGAGAGAGAGAGAGAGAGAGAGAGAGAGAGAGAGAGAGAGAGAGAGAGAGAGAGAGAGAGAGAGAGAGAGAGAGAGAGAGAGAGAGAGAGAGAGAGAGAGAGAGAGAGAGAGAGAGAGAGAGAGAGAGAGAGAGAGAGAGAGAGAGAGAGAGAGAGAGAGAGAGAGAGAGAGAGAGAGAGAGAGAGAGAGAGAGAGAGAGAGAGAGAGAGAGAGAGAGAGAGAGAGAGAGAGAGAGAGAGAGAGAGAGAGAGAGAGAGAGAGAGAGAGAGAGAGAGAGAGAGAGAGAGAGAGAGAGAGAGAGAGAGAGAGAGAGAGAGAGAGAGAGAGAGAGAGAGAGAGAGAGAGAGAGAGAGAGAGAGAGAGAGAGAGAGAGAGAGAGAGAGAGAGAGAGAGAGAGAGAGAGAGAGAGAGAGAGAGAGAGAGAGAGAGAGAGAGAGAGAGAGAGAGAGAGAGAGAGAGAGAGAGAGAGAGAGAGAGAGAGAGAGAGAGAGAGAGAGAGAGAGAGAGAGAGAGAGAGAGAGAGAGAGAGAGAGAGAGAGAGAGAGAGAGAGAGAGAGAGAGAGAGAGAGAGAGAGAGAGAGAGAGAGAGAGAGAGAGAGAGAGAGAGAGAGAGAGAGAGAGAGAGAGAGAGAGAGAGAGAGAGAGAGAGAGAGAGAGAGAGAGAGAGAGAGAGAGAGAGAGAGAGAGAGAGAGAGAGAGAGAGAGAGAGAGAGAGAGAGAGAGAGAGAGAGAGAGAGAGAGAGAGAGAGAGAGAGAGAGAGAGAGAGAGAGAGAGAGAGAGAGAGAGAGAGAGAGAGAGAGAGAGAGAGAGAGAGAGAGAGAGAGAGAGAGAGAGAGAGAGAGAGAGAGAGAGAGAGAGAGAGAGAGAGAGAGAGAGAGAGAGAGAGAGAGAGAGAGAGAGAGAGAGAGAGAGAGAGAGAGAGAGAGAGAGAGAGAGAGAGAGAGAGAGAGAGAGAGAGAGAGAGAGAGAGAGAGAGAGAGAGAGAGAGAGAGAGAGAGAGAGAGAGAGAGAGAGAGAGAGAGAGAGAGAGAGAGAGAGAGAGAGAGAGAGAGAGAGAGAGAGAGAGAGAGAGAGAGAGAGAGAGAGAGAGAGAGAGAGAGAGAGAGAGAGAGAGAGAGAGAGAGAGAGAGAGAGAGAGAGAGAGAGAGAGAGAGAGAGAGAGAGAGAGAGAGAGAGAGAGAGAGAGAGAGAGAGAGAGAGAGAGAGAGAGAGAGAGAGAGAGAGAGAGAGAGAGAGAGAGAGAGAGAGAGAGAGAGAGAGAGAGAGAGAGAGAGAGAGAGAGAGAGAGAGAGAGAGAGAGAGAGAGAGAGAGAGAGAGAGAGAGAGAGAGAGAGAGAGAGAGAGAGAGAGAGAGAGAGAGAGAGAGAGAGAGAGAGAGAGAGAGAGAGAGAGAGAGAGAGAGAGAGAGAGAGAGAGAGAGAGAGAGAGAGAGAGAGAGAGAGAGAGAGAGAGAGAGAGAGAGAGAGAGAGAGAGAGAGAGAGAGAGAGAGAGAGAGAGAGAGAGAGAGAGAGAGAGAGAGAGAGAGAGAGAGAGAGAGAGAGAGAGAGAGAGAGAGAGAGAGAGAGAGAGAGAGAGAGAGAGAGAGAGAGAGAGAGAGAGAGAGAGAGAGAGAGAGAGAGAGAGAGAGAGAGAGAGAGAGAGAGAGAGAGAGAGAGAGAGAGAGAGAGAGAGAGAGAGAGAGAGAGAGAGAGAGAGAGAGAGAGAGAGAGAGAGAGAGAGAGAGAGAGAGAGAGAGAGAGAGAGAGAGAGAGAGAGAGAGAGAGAGAGAGAGAGAGAGAGAGAGAGAGAGAGAGAGAGAGAGAGAGAGAGAGAGAGAGAGAGAGAGAGAGAGAGAGAGAGAGAGAGAGAGAGAGAGAGAGAGAGAGAGAGAGAGAGAGAGAGAGAGAGAGAGAGAGAGAGAGAGAGAGAGAGAGAGAGAGAGAGAGAGAGAGAGAGAGAGAGAGAGAGAGAGAGAGAGAGAGAGAGAGAGAGAGAGAGAGAGAGAGAGAGAGAGAGAGAGAGAGAGAGAGAGAGAGAGAGAGAGAGAGAGAGAGAGAGAGAGAGAGAGAGAGAGAGAGAGAGAGAGAGAGAGAGAGAGAGAGAGAGAGAGAGAGAGAGAGAGAGAGAGAGAGAGAGAGAGAGAGAGAGAGAGAGAGAGAGAGAGAGAGAGAGAGAGAGAGAGAGAGAGAGAGAGAGAGAGAGAGAGAGAGAGAGAGAGAGAGAGAGAGAGAGAGAGAGAGAGAGAGAGAGAGAGAGAGAGAGAGAGAGAGAGAGAGAGAGAGAGAGAGAGAGAGAGAGAGAGAGAGAGAGAGAGAGAGAGAGAGAGAGAGAGAGAGAGAGAGAGAGAGAGAGAGAGAGAGAGAGAGAGAGAGAGAGAGAGAGAGAGAGAGAGAGAGAGAGAGAGAGAGAGAGAGAGAGAGAGAGAGAGAGAGAGAGAGAGAGAGAGAGAGAGAGAGAGAGAGAGAGAGAGAGAGAGAGAGAGAGAGAGAGAGAGAGAGAGAGAGAGAGAGAGAGAGAGAGAGAGAGAGAGAGAGAGAGAGAGAGAGAGAGAGAGAGAGAGAGAGAGAGAGAGAGAGAGAGAGAGAGAGAGAGAGAGAGAGAGAGAGAGAGAGAGAGAGAGAGAGAGAGAGAGAGAGAGAGAGAGAGAGAGAGAGAGAGAGAGAGAGAGAGAGAGAGAGAGAGAGAGAGAGAGAGAGAGAGAGAGAGAGAGAGAGAGAGAGAGAGAGAGAGAGAGAGAGAGAGAGAGAGAGAGAGAGAGAGAGAGAGAGAGAGAGAGAGAGAGAGAGAGAGAGAGAGAGAGAGAGAGAGAGAGAGAGAGAGAGAGAGAGAGAGAGAGAGAGAGAGAGAGAGAGAGAGAGAGAGAGAGAGAGAGAGAGAGAGAGAGAGAGAGAGAGAGAGAGAGAGAGAGAGAGAGAGAGAGAGAGAGAGAGAGAGAGAGAGAGAGAGAGAGAGAGAGAGAGAGAGAGAGAGAGAGAGAGAGAGAGAGAGAGAGAGAGAGAGAGAGAGAGAGAGAGAGAGAGAGAGAGAGAGAGAGAGAGAGAGAGAGAGAGAGAGAGAGAGAGAGAGAGAGAGAGAGAGAGAGAGAGAGAGAGAGAGAGAGAGAGAGAGAGAGAGAGAGAGAGAGAGAGAGAGAGAGAGAGAGAGAGAGAGAGAGAGAGAGAGAGAGAGAGAGAGAGAGAGAGAGAGAGAGAGAGAGAGAGAGAGAGAGAGAGAGAGAGAGAGAGAGAGAGAGAGAGAGAGAGAGAGAGAGAGAGAGAGAGAGAGAGAGAGAGAGAGAGAGAGAGAGAGAGAGAGAGAGAGAGAGAGAGAGAGAGAGAGAGAGAGAGAGAGAGAGAGAGAGAGAGAGAGAGAGAGAGAGAGAGAGAGAGAGAGAGAGAGAGAGAGAGAGAGAGAGAGAGAGAGAGAGAGAGAGAGAGAGAGAGAGAGAGAGAGAGAGAGAGAGAGAGAGAGAGAGAGAGAGAGAGAGAGAGAGAGAGAGAGAGAGAGAGAGAGAGAGAGAGAGAGAGAGAGAGAGAGAGAGAGAGAGAGAGAGAGAGAGAGAGAGAGAGAGAGAGAGAGAGAGAGAGAGAGAGAGAGAGAGAGAGAGAGAGAGAGAGAGAGAGAGAGAGAGAGAGAGAGAGAGAGAGAGAGAGAGAGAGAGAGAGAGAGAGAGAGAGAGAGAGAGAGAGAGAGAGAGAGAGAGAGAGAGAGAGAGAGAGAGAGAGAGAGAGAGAGAGAGAGAGAGAGAGAGAGAGAGAGAGAGAGAGAGAGAGAGAGAGAGAGAGAGAGAGAGAGAGAGAGAGAGAGAGAGAGAGAGAGAGAGAGAGAGAGAGAGAGAGAGAGAGAGAGAGAGAGAGAGAGAGAGAGAGAGAGAGAGAGAGAGAGAGAGAGAGAGAGAGAGAGAGAGAGAGAGAGAGAGAGAGAGAGAGAGAGAGAGAGAGAGAGAGAGAGAGAGAGAGAGAGAGAGAGAGAGAGAGAGAGAGAGAGAGAGAGAGAGAGAGAGAGAGAGAGAGAGAGAGAGAGAGAGAGAGAGAGAGAGAGAGAGAGAGAGAGAGAGAGAGAGAGAGAGAGAGAGAGAGAGAGAGAGAGAGAGAGAGAGAGAGAGAGAGAGAGAGAGAGAGAGAGAGAGAGAGAGAGAGAGAGAGAGAGAGAGAGAGAGAGAGAGAGAGAGAGAGAGAGAGAGAGAGAGAGAGAGAGAGAGAGAGAGAGAGAGAGAGAGAGAGAGAGAGAGAGAGAGAGAGAGAGAGAGAGAGAGAGAGAGAGAGAGAGAGAGAGAGAGAGAGAGAGAGAGAGAGAGAGAGAGAGAGAGAGAGAGAGAGAGAGAGAGAGAGAGAGAGAGAGAGAGAGAGAGAGAGAGAGAGAGAGAGAGAGAGAGAGAGAGAGAGAGAGAGAGAGAGAGAGAGAGAGAGAGAGAGAGAGAGAGAGAGAGAGAGAGAGAGAGAGAGAGAGAGAGAGAGAGAGAGAGAGAGAGAGAGAGAGAGAGAGAGAGAGAGAGAGAGAGAGAGAGAGAGAGAGAGAGAGAGAGAGAGAGAGAGAGAGAGAGAGAGAGAGAGAGAGAGAGAGAGAGAGAGAGAGAGAGAGAGAGAGAGAGAGAGAGAGAGAGAGAGAGAGAGAGAGAGAGAGAGAGAGAGAGAGAGAGAGAGAGAGAGAGAGAGAGAGAGAGAGAGAGAGAGAGAGAGAGAGAGAGAGAGAGAGAGAGAGAGAGAGAGAGAGAGAGAGAGAGAGAGAGAGAGAGAGAGAGAGAGAGAGAGAGAGAGAGAGAGAGAGAGAGAGAGAGAGAGAGAGAGAGAGAGAGAGAGAGAGAGAGAGAGAGAGAGAGAGAGAGAGAGAGAGAGAGAGAGAGAGAGAGAGAGAGAGAGAGAGAGAGAGAGAGAGAGAGAGAGAGAGAGAGAGAGAGAGAGAGAGAGAGAGAGAGAGAGAGAGAGAGAGAGAGAGAGAGAGAGAGAGAGAGAGAGAGAGAGAGAGAGAGAGAGAGAGAGAGAGAGAGAGAGAGAGAGAGAGAGAGAGAGAGAGAGAGAGAGAGAGAGAGAGAGAGAGAGAGAGAGAGAGAGAGAGAGAGAGAGAGAGAGAGAGAGAGAGAGAGAGAGAGAGAGAGAGAGAGAGAGAGAGAGAGAGAGAGAGAGAGAGAGAGAGAGAGAGAGAGAGAGAGAGAGAGAGAGAGAGAGAGAGAGAGAGAGAGAGAGAGAGAGAGAGAGAGAGAGAGAGAGAGAGAGAGAGAGAGAGAGAGAGAGAGAGAGAGAGAGAGAGAGAGAGAGAGAGAGAGAGAGAGAGAGAGAGAGGAAAACAAAAAGTATATCAAATGCACACCCTTTCAAATCCGCGCTCCTGTAACTTTCATACATTAGCTACCGTCGCATCCAGAGAGAGAGAGAGAGAGAGAGAGAGAGAGAGAGAGAGAGAGAGAGAGAACCAATGCATTTAAACGACCGATTTGAAAACCATAGACGAGCTGTTTCGAGAAAAATGTGTATAACGCTGTATGGTTGTACGGGCGGTGAGTTTAATATGCGACGGTGCTGGGCTTTCCACTTGCCACTCGTGCCCCATCCTCCACTCCCCTCATGCTTTTTTACTCCCTCCGCGAATAAGTAGCTTTTCACCCTCTCCCTAACGCGTCGTTCTATCGGGAGGGTTGTAAAACGAGTGGGACTGTAGAGCCCAGCGCCTGTACAATTTACACCCCGACACTTTGCCGGAATATTGGTACGTGTGAGCGTGGGTATGGGCGTATAGGTGTCCGAGATGAAGCGCACATTCTTAATTTTATACTGTCCCATAGGTATCTCGCGCTATTGGCTGTTTCTAGCAATTTTTTTTCTTCCACTCCGCGAGCGAGAGGGAATGACAGTGGGAGGGGACGAGACTTTGCTTCCTAACACGGTAAGGGGATCGAGGTACTCGTACGTACTTTTGATACGTTGCTGTTCCGTTGTGAGATGTACTTTTATCATTCAATGAGATAATTCCTTCGGGATTGTAAATAAACTTTTTTTTTTTTTTTTTCTTTTTACATCGCGTCCGCGTGCGTGATACCCATCGATCTCCCCCGAACGCATTAGTGATAGTAGTTGTGTAAGATACGTTTAGTCTGTACTCTGTCTTGCTTCTTACTTTGTCTTTCTATTTTCCACGAAGAGTAAGACGCAAAAAAAATGTACGGTGCTGGGTCCGATATGGCTTTTCAACTTACGTGTACATTGTTTTTTTTTTTTTATTTTTTTTTCTACTCCCACTAATTCACCCAACATATATACCTAATCCTCGTTTTTTTTTTTTTTTTTTTTTTTTTACTTACAAGAAATCGCAAATACTTTATACATACATATAATATGATACGCAATTACATGCATTATACATATTATACATGATCGACTGTAAGTTTTACACTTGTAACGTTATTATTATGTGTGGTAGGTGTGTGGACGAGAAAAGTTAAAGATGCGCCCATCNTTTTTTGTGTGCGCAGGTTGTGGAACAATCCAGGGTCCACCTCGGGTCTTCACCAACAACATCGTCGTGCGCTTCCATCCGTTTCTCGAGATGGACGGCGATGAGGTCATAACGATCGTCTGCCGGTATCCCCCGGCCATTTCGAAAGTCGAGCCCGCCATACCCGACCAGCGTATAGGCCTGTGAGTCATTATTTATCCCCCATTTTTTCAATACAAAAATATACACGTGGGTGTATGTGTTTTTTTATTTTTATTTTTTTTCATCCATACAGGCCTCCGTCACCGCCGCTGTTGAGCGCAACCCACATGCTCCTGATGATCTGCACCCTGCTCTTTCTCACCCTTCTCCTGCTGGGTCTGGGCTGCTCGTACATGTGCCTGAAGGGCCGGCCCGTCTCCGTGATTCACCGTACGATCGCCAGCTCCGAGATCACCAAGATATCCGGGTCGACCGAGGGCCTGAGCCACCGATCGCTGTTTGACGACTTTAAAATCCCGAGGATCGGTGGCACCCATCAGGCCTACGGTAGCGAGACCCACCTCGTCGAGCACTCGGACACGCTGCCCAGCGACTACCCCAGCGAGAGCCACTCGGAGGTCAGTTTTTTCCTTTCTTTCCTCTCCGATCGAGGAAGGGGGGTTGGGTTCTTTTGCGGGGGACGGCGGATCAGCTATAGATTATTTATTTCACGCTGTGAATTTTTTTTTTTTTTTTTTTTCTTTTATCAATACACTCCTGGCAACGAGAGTCGTTGCGTCTCGTTTGCGCGTATGGGTTTCTGACACAAAAGAACAAGGTAAAAAATGTTTTTCACAATGTAACGCACACTATTGTCCGTACGTGCACTTAATCGTAAAAAACTAAAATATTATAATTGATTGTAACGTGTGTTAATAAATGACCGTGCCTATAATAATGCAATACGTGCATAGATGATATGTGTGATTGTTGGTGAAAAATGATTGGGCGTGTGCTTGACGAGGCTCCTTTTGTGCAACAGGTCGACGAAGAAAGATCCCTACCCGTATCCTCGGCCGGCTCATACGAGACTAAAGCCTTCGTGCATCCCCAGGTGGAGCAGCGGGCGTCGAGTTCCCTGTACTCGGAGACGATCAACGAGATCGAGAGCACGGCGGTGACGGCGTCGCGCGTGGTCGGCCATCAGAGCCGGCACGGGGTGGCCATGCACCTGGAGCCCAAGTTCGACGTGCAAATGCGGGTGAAGCAGGCCCCGGCACCACCGAGTCCCCTGCCATCCGAGTCCGAGGCGAGCGTGGCCCTCGAGCGCAACCTCACCACCATCCTCGAGCGCGAGGAGAGCAGCCGCACCACCACCGACGCCCCGCCGCCCAATCGCCTCACGAGCTTTGCCTACGTGCCGGAGCTACACGCGCCCCCGAGCACCTCCAGACAACAGACGCCGCCCGTCTACTCGAGGATCCTGCGCAAGCAAGCCGAACGCGAGAGCTTCGACCTCGACACCGAGCGCACCGAGACGAGGTCCCTCACCGAGGTGACCGACGCCACGCACGCCAAGTACCGGGTCGCCAGCATGCTGGCCCCGAGCAGCCCGCCCGGCTCCACCCACCGCCACCACCACCACCACCAGCTCGTCACCGAGGAGCAGGAGACCCGCGAGGAGACGGTCGAGCCCCTCGTCGAGCCCGTGGTGTCCCCGAGGCGGCCCGAGATCACGACCCACGAGGTCGACGACGTCTTCCTGCGCACCGTCACCGAGAAAAAGACCATCGAGGACATCGAGCGCCACAGGCGCCAAGTCACCGAGTACCACGCCCGCCACAAGCCCCTACCCCCCGATCCCAAGTGGGACGTCACCATACGCAACTACCCGACCAAGGCCCACGAGTTGGCCCCCACGCCCCCCGACTGGGAGAACTTTTCGGACGTGAGCTCGGCCTCGAACCTCACCGTCACCCTCGAGCCGGCCACCACCGCGGCCAACCAACACCAGCCAACGACCTCCCAACACCCGGCCACCGACGTCCCCATTGACGTGCACATCCAGCCGACGTACACCAGAGCTCGTGGGTCGGAGCAGACCGAGCGCTGCTGCAACCTCGAGCGGCTCCTCGAGCCCCAGTACGCGGCCGAGTTCACGGAGGCGGAGCGGAAAAAGTGGCGAGAGATCATAACGACCGAGAGCACGCTCCGGAGTTTGCTGACCGAGGCGACGGTCAGGGAGGATTACGAGCTCGTGAGGAGGGACTCGAGGTACGCGGGCCTGTTCCCCCCGGCCAAGTGGGACGTCATCATAAGGATCCTTGGGGCACCGGGACCCGGGGGCTCGGTGCCCTCGTCGGGCTCGTCCACGGCGAGGACCCCGACCAACGGCACCGGCCAGAGGTACAAGCGAGCCAAGTCGACCGAGTGGGACAACAGGTCGCGACGCTCGTCCCTACCCACCCTCTACGAGTACGAGAGCGACGGTGGCAGCTCCGCAAGGACCTTCACGCGGCTGGCCACTGCCGGACCGGGTGGCATCTTACCGGGCACCAGAATCAGGTAAGGGCTCGTTGATACACTACACTCGTGACGGCGATGGATTTGTAATTTTGGGCGCTTCCCCTTTGCAGGAGACTAAGCTCGACGACGAGGGGTGGCAGCGAGGCGGACCTCCGGTCCATGTCCGAGATGACGGTGCGGGACTTTGCGCGGCTCGACAGGGACGACCAGACGAGCTTGTCGTCGTACGACGGCGACAGCATGGTCCGGTCGCTCAGCCAGCCCAGCTTGGCGCGCTCGGGCTCCGAGTTCACGGAGCACTGGGGCCTGCCGGCGCGCAACCTGCCCCACTGGGGCGCCGATGACGACGAGGACGAGGAAATGGGGGAGGAGCAGGCGTGCAGCTCGACGGAGACGACGCCCAGGCCGGTCCGGAGACGGGAGCTCCTCAGGCAGCACGAGTCCACCACGGGGGGACAACCTACCGCCTCGGCCACGGGTTTCGTCAGGTCGTCGAGGTACAGCGAGATGCGGCTCCAGCAACAACAGACCAGCTCGGCAAAGCGGCCTGGCTGGTTCCACGACGACTCCGAGCCCGAAATGCAGATCTGAGCGTGCCCGTGGAAACGCAGCTTCCCGGTGGTCGCGTGCACCGCGGTACACCTCGTGGAATATGAGTTCATACACGATAGGCCCCAATACCATATAATATAATACATATTAGGTACCACAACCATGTACCGTGTTGTAAATGTTACTACTACTACTACTACTACTACTACTACTAAAAATCACAATAAGCCGGTTACCACTAGACTCGTATATGATTAAATATTTTCCCGCCCACGCGTGTACAGATATTATCCACGTGTATGATGCGTGTACCCAGAATCGCGCACAATTTGCTCACATCCGTTGCGAGTTGTACCGCGTAAACGCGCACCACCTGTATGGGGGCTGCTGCGTGGCCCAAACCTTATCATCGGCAATGCACAACATACAACAAATGCATGTGAATTTCAGGGACGCTACGCACGGGTTTGGTCGTAAACGTCGTTTACAGCGTCGCCCCCGTTATACGTGGTGCAGGTTTAACGAGCAAAGAGAGTGGACGCGAGGGCGCTCGGAGCATTAAGATTTGTCAAGGATAAAGAATTGAATTGAATTGAATTGAATTATTTATTAAGTACCAAGGACTCAGGGGCCCTATATGGTACATGACAATTTCGTTACATACAGTACAGGTACATCAGAGCAATAGCGTAACTATTATCCGGAACACAATTAGGTGGTAAATTAAAACGTGAATAAAATACAATAAATAAATAAATAAATAATAATAATACCAACAACCAATGACAATAGATTAGTAAAATCGCATATATAGAACAAGTAGTGTAATATAAAAAGATATAACAAAAGACAAATAAATAAACAAATAAATAAATAAACAAAAGAACAGTCAGATAGAAAACATAGAACATGTCAAAGCTAAAGAGTGATAAATTGAATTGATAAATTAAAAATTAAAATTAAAATTAAAAGGCGGTTTCGCGTATAAGAAAACGCTCCCGCAGATGTCTTTTAAACTGGGGGCTTCCAGCCTGTCTCCTCAGGTTGACGGGCAAGTCGTTCCATAGCCTTGAGGTGTAAACGATGAAAGAGTGTTTGTAACATTCGGTGCGTGCGTGGGGGACAGTCAGGTCCATTTCAGAGCGTCTCTTCGACCCAGGACCATCCACGGTGACAAATTGTAGGCGCTCCCTCAGGTAGCTCGGTTCCCCGCGACAGAGCACATTAGCAAGCAGACACAGGCACTGGTAGTCGCGATTATCTTCGTAGTCAAGTACACGGAGCTGCCTATATACAGGGGTAATGTGCTCGTAGATCCTGGTACCAGTGACGAAACGCAAGGCAGCATTTTTACATCGGCGCAGTTTGGTCCGAAGCTCCAGCGAGAGGTCCAGGAAAAGGCCAGGGCAGTAATCCAGGTAGGGAAATATTAGCGCCTTGATTAGAGTGAGTCGCACTGCTCGAGGCAGGAAATCGCCACACTTACGCAAGCGCATTAGGGCCGCATAACACCTTCGAACCGTGGCGTTGGTCTGTTGAAGGCCAGATAGCGTGCTGTCAATAAATATTCCCAGAATCTTGAGGACGCTCCCATATTCAATAGTACGAGCGCCAACATGCAGGACTGGCAAGCGATCCAATTGCAGTTTGGTAATAAAATTTCTGGTGGCAATCCAAATGGCCTGCGACTTTTCAGGCTTAATATACAGGCAATTGGAAGCAGCCCACCCCGCCAGAGCCTCAAGGTCAAGGTTAGCTTCATTAACAATTCGGGCAGTCTCGTGAAGAGGTCCACTCCTCCAGAGGGTAAAATCATCCGCATACATGTGGTAAGAGCAGTGGCGCAGGACCAGCGGTGCGTCATTTATAAATAGGGCGAACAGCAACGGGCTGAGCAGGCACCCCTGCGGTACACCCGCCACCCTGGAGATCGAGCGGGAACAAGAGCCATCCGAGGAAACGACAGACTGGGATCTATCAGTCAGGAAGCTCCGAATCCATCCAGCAGCCGAAGGAGAAAATCCAAGAGCCGCAAGCTTACACATCAGGAGCTCGATGTTCACGAGATCAAACGCCCTGGCAAAGTCGATGGAGATCATGACGGTGATCTCCTTATTGTCAACAGACCGGCGTACACTGTCCACCATCTGAATAAGCGCAGAGTGAGCACTGTGACCCCTGCGAAATCCCGACTGCAACGGATCGATGAGCCGCTCACGCCCAACAAACTCCTCGATCTGACGCAGAGCAACAAATTCAAGAAGCTTAGACAGCGCGCAAGTAATACTGATGGGCCTCCAGTCATCAAGGTTCCGAGGAGGAAAGCGCTTGGGAATCGGACGAATAGTAGCCCGCTTCCAGCCGGAAGGAAAGACAGCCGACTGCAAAGAAAAATCAAAGACATGCAGAAGAACAGGCAAGATCGAAGGCATACATCCCCTAATTAAGGAGAGTGGCAGGTTATCCGGGCCTCTGGCATTCGATCCAATCGACGCCAGAGCATCTAGTACGTCCGTGGGGTTGACGTGGCGAAAATAAAAACCATCACCTACATGTCTAAGAGTCCGCGCCTGCTCGACGCGTGGTGCGGCAATAGCGTCGCCACCATCGGCGAAATGTGTATTTAAAGCTTCGACGTCAACATAAATGCCGTCAGTTGAGCGTTCCTTCACACGCATACCAATCTCATCGATGCAGCGCCAAAGCTTCCTAGCATCGGTGCACCCGGAGAGCCTATCGCGATAATAGGCTGATTTAGCATTACGAATTTTGTTTTTCACCTGATTGCGCAGATGCCTGTAGATCAGCTGGTGCTCCGGTTTACCCGTCCTTCTATATACCGTCCATGATCTGTTGCGTCGAGTAATTAAGGACTTGAGCTCTAAGCAGAACCATGGAGCACGTCGCTTTTTGGCAGTAACGCTTCGATAAGGGGCATGGCGGTCATAGAGCCCTATTATGGTCATCGTAAGCCAATCAACTTTCTCGTTTATGGTGTCAAAAGTGTGCAACGTGTCCCATCGGATAGCAGATAGATCCCGTCCAAAACTATCCTCCTCGAATGACGCGAAGCTTCGGCACATAATTCTAGTAGTCAAAGGCGCAGGCACCAAGAAGTCAAACTCGGCCAATAAAACGTCATGCCAAGAGATAGACGGAGAGCTAAATTGTTCACTTGAAAGCACCCGAGAACGATCACTGACACATATATAGTCTATAGTAGAGTGTGACGACTTGGTATGGTGCGTGGGATCGAAAGGCAGAGGCTCAAGACCAAAAGCATCAAAGCAGCCACTGATAATCCTTCGCGGAGTGGAGTCAACGGCCCAATCAATGTTGAAATCGCCTACAAGCAACGAGTAGTCACACGATCGACTACAATTGAGCAGCGCATCCTCCACGTCAGACCAGTATCCACTTTTAGGCGGGCTGTAAACAACCCCTAACAATATCCATGTGTTTACTATGCGCAGCTTAATAAACATAAACTCGGGTCTAACTGGGCCATCAGGCCGATAAACCGAGCGACCAACAATTTCACCTCGACAAGAGACACTCACATACGCCGCCACACCTCCACCAGCTCTGCCCGGACGGTCCACTCGGAGCAACTGGTAGCCATCAATGTTCAGTAGATTGGAGTGCCTTTCCGGCTTTAACCAAGACTCACTTATCGCCATAACATGAGGAGCACGGTCGCGGATAATCTGTCTAACATCGATAAAATGGGGCTCGAGCGATTGCGCATTGATATGGCCAACCTTGAAAGTAGAAGCACTACACTGAGCCATAGTCTATCAGTGAAATAATTCGCTCAATACGCTTACGC